CAGAAGCTACTGTCTCAGACAGTCAAGATACCAATGCCACAAGCATCCCTCAAAACCAAGCCTGGGTTAAGCTCATCAAACTGATCATCTTTGCATCTAGTCTCACTGGCAAACTTGTGATGAACAACTTACATGAATCTCTGCTATAAATTTGGGTAATATAAGAATGTCAGTAAAGAAATGTTTGAAACATGCTTCCACATATCAACTAAGTTATACAAAAGATGTAATTCCACGTTCATTGATACAGACCCTGACAGATCTCTTGGCAGAACATATCTGACTTGGATCAAGAAAGAATATGCACTGATGATCGTTGTTAAATTAGCCAGAACACAGTATGGTGGTTACACAAGATTTATGTTGTCTGTGGAGAAGTATAGATGACACTCATCTGGCATAAAGTCAGGAGAACACAGAAAGACAACAACTGATTCAATAAAAATTTAACCAGAACAAACCTGCAACCTACTAATTTTCAAATGGCACCATGTGTTTGTATTAGCTACTTGTTTTGCATCTCATGCTGTTTTCCTTCTGTTGGAAGATGCTCTAAAACATTTATGTATCCTTCAGCTCATACAGAATCATAGAATGATATCCTAGGGACTGAATCTGATCTCACTGGTTAAAAGGGTGTCCTCCACAAACCTGGTTTAAAGTTTGTTCATGGTTAGTCATAATGTCATTAGTAGTTTCTGTTTATGAAGCCAGACATTAAAACAAATACCTTTATTAAACCAAATTCACAGAAATCAATCTCTTTCTAGTAAGACGGCAAATGAAAGATGATGGCAAATGAAACAAAGCGTCCCCAGGCTTGACAACTCAGTTACTGCCAAGTATAAAGAGAGAAATTTTCTAGAACTGCTCTAAGTAGTTACTAGAATTTAAGCACACCTGTCTTCAGATACGTTGCTTCATAGTGTCAGTGAATTTATGTGGACATAAATCCATATGAGTTCATAAAGTAATTCGTCTACTGCCTAGGACAGCTCAGGAATTAGCAAGTGTGTCTGGAAACTAGCAGATATCAAAGAATAACAAGGAGACAGCCTGAATTCAGCAGGCTTGCCAATGAGGTGAAGAAAACATCAACTATTATGTGCATGGCATAAGCCTTCCAGTTCCAGAAAATTGAAAACCTGCTTCATTCTAGGTAACATGACAACTTGCTGCAGCACATCACAGTGACTGCCAAACCTGTCCTTAGCTTCTGCTGTATTCTTCTTGATTCTATAGAGAAGACTGCTCCAACACAGCAACTTATTGTCCATCAACTGACCCCTAGTTCTCACAATACCTGCAATACAGGAACCTCTGTGCAAGTAAGCTATTCCACCAGGAACTGGAATACAACAATTCACACTACCACTACCCCAAAGAAGGGTGGTACTTTGCCACACTCGCACATGCAGATCCATTGCATGCACTGAGTTCACATTCTGATTTCCTGTATGACCAAGGCATTCCACTGCATGGGCATGCCAGTGACAATGTAGGGATTTCAATCAAAAATTAAATCAATGCCAACTGCTCTAACGGTTTATCCTTAAATCCCTTTTTTTTTAACTGCTACTTTACAAAATACAGGCCTCAACTAAGGTTGAGTTTCACTGTTGAAGTGAAATCTCAGCTTCAGTGAAGTCACCAGAAAAAATTGCTACTACTTTCAAGGAGCCCAGATCTGTATTTTGTTGTACGAGATTTTGTTGTATAAGATCTACATGACAAAAGGCAGACATCTACATCCAGGTTAGCCATCTAGCTTCCCTTGATCATCAGTGAAGCAAAACAGACACTTTTTAGCTCATCTTCTCCTAGAGAAGACACTTAAAATAGGTTGACTGATTTGTACCCAAAAATGCATTTTTTACCTCCTCAGGCTGAAACAAAGATCTAAGTGACAAGCTCTGTATTGCAGATATCTAAAATAAGCAGAAAGAAACCCACACAAAAATTTATTCTTGGTTTTCAGAGGAAAACACAACTTGTATAAATGGCACCAAGCATACCACATACTATAGACTGCTCTAGAAAACACCAGAATACAGTTATTCATCACTCCTTCACCAGGAAGGCTCCAAATATTTAGATACCAGACAGTGAGATGGAAAACTGGAAACATTAACTATCCCTATGACCAATGAGCTGAAATAAACTGCTCAAATAATTTTATTGTGTTCTCTGGAAATGCCATACAATTAGCACATTTTTGATGCTGTGTTGACTGGTAACTGATTTTGTTGTTTTAATAAAGTTGCTTCAGTTATTCTGTATATTTTCTGTACTGTATCACAGACTTCACCATTTCTTCACGAATTAAACACAAACAGAACAGGTACTTTTGCTTCTCTGCAGTTTCAATATACTAACTCTACTCTGTGCTACAACACGATATACTCACTGATTTACTTAACATCACCTTTCCTCTGATGTGTCTTTGGTCACTTAAACAGGAGTTAAGTACTCAGTATAGATAACTTCCCCACACTTCCACACAGCTTCAAAAATCTGACTTCTAATTTGCATCCTAATTTTCACTTTGCCTCCCAAAATTCTATTTGTAATCTCTCAACTGACTTCCCAGCAAGAGGAGAGGAAAATCCTGTGGCCTCATATGGCCTGTCACATGCTACAGTACATTTTTTCCCTCGTCTTTTTGACAACACACGTTGTTCCTAACACTGGATATTGATTCTACTTTAATTTCCTTACTGTTCCTAATTTAATTATCTCACATAAAACTATATATGATATCTCCTACTATGCCTTGAAGATCTGACTACCGGCAGATGGAAGTACCTCAGTAAGACACAAGTGGTAGAGATACAATATAGAAAAATCTAGGTCATAACAGTAATTCTGAAACTGAAAATTGAATATGCAACTATCAGATGACTTTTTTTTTCAAAATAAATTAAAATTCTTATCTAGACCTCTGTCAGAATTCAAATATATAAAATTTACAAATTTTCTAAGGAAAAAAAATGGCAAATATTGAAAGCATGTAGCCAGTGGAAACCTTTCAATTTCTAACAAGACCACAACTCTGCTGAACTCTATTCAACATAATATATTTCAGTAACTTATTGAAAGACACTGCGGTAACTCCGTAACACCAGACTGTTAGAACAGTGCAACAGGACTCTCACATTGAACATCTGTGGCAAGAATATGCATCTTATACAGCCACTGCTGTGCCTGAGCAAATTTATCCCCTACAGAGTCATCATTTCCATCTTCCTCCTTAGGCTGAAATGAATAGTTTTACTTTATGTATCTGTAGCAAATTTCATTTTCCAATTTACTGGCATGCTTCTACCATTTCCTAGATATATAACTTTAACAGCCTGGTTAGCCTTCAGTTCAATGAAGAAAAAAAATTCAACATAATCTGCATTAGGCAGTGAGCATTTTGGAGAAGAAACTCCATTTTTCTTTTACACATACCCTCATGTCTCATAACCTACAATATTTTCCAAGATGTTGCTTCACTCTTCACCTGTTCTAGTAAGGACTGAAGTATACAAACAATGTCATAGTGACAAGTAACAAATTCCGAAGTACTGTTAACCTTCACTTTAACAAATACTAGAATGCAAATTAAAGGGAAACTTAAAATGCTTCAGCTGTGACTTACATAGCATGCTTATAACCGGTATTTATCAAACAAATGCAAGGTTATGGTTCTAAAGATTATCCAGCTTCCACTTCATATCAAAGCTGGTGTATCAACTAAGGGGTTGTAAAATGATCTCTTTTTTTTTTTTCAGTTGATTGAACAAGTTGTCTTGCTGATAGAAGAACCACATCTTGTCTACAGCTTCCTCGTGTCAAGAGAATCCTTGCTGCTCCTCATGGCACTCTGCGGGACCAAGGTGCTGCTTTAGCCCAGTCCTGTACTTGTACTAGTCACTTGCACTGAGTAGACAAACAGAATACAAAGACCAGGCTTCTACCTGCCAGTAAAAGTACTTTTCCTCTAGCCAGGTACCTGCTTTCACAAAATTTTTAAGAACCAAACACTTTTTGATACCTACCCCTCTTCAAAATATAGCTGAAACCTGTGAGTGAACTAAAAAAATCAGTAGAAATTACTACCCCACAGACTATCAAACGGCATGGTTGCTTTAAGTGTCATCTTCAGAAACCAGGCCAAAACCCATTTCAGACCCTGTACAAGACTCTCTGTGGAAGAAGAAAAAAACAAACAACAGGCTGAGGAAAAAAGAAAAGGAACTGCTACTGAAAAAGGTACCTGGAAAATACACCATCTCCATCTATTCAAGTTTATAGTATACAGAATGCATTGTTTTCAGTCAATTATAACTCAATATTTCTCTTCATACCTATGGTAACAACATAACAAGACAGTGAATATCTACTGTTTATATCTTGATTAGCCAGTAATCTGCAGGTCTAATGCAGAATCAAACAAGTCATTATTCAGATCAGTTCACCCTGGGTTTAATGAATCTTCTTCATTTTGTGCAAGAAAGAAGTTTATTCTTCTTCAAGAACACCAGATCTATTTTATTTCCCCTCACCAATTTCAAAGCATTGCTCCATATTTTACCTTAGTTCCACAACAGAAAAATATACATTGATTGTAAAATACTTACACACAACTTACTCAGTAAGTTTCACTTAAATGAGTATTAACCTAAAATTTTCTTTAATTTTTTATCTCTAAGATAACTAGATTTCAATGCTTAATCTTTTTTCCACACACACAAAAGTTTCCTTAATGTTGGTGAATCAAAGTGGAAAGAGATATCCTTCCATGAGGAAAACATATACACAAAAGATGCTGGAGCCTTCCCATTTTGTCCCAGTTCTCATCACTAATAGAGCTGTACACAACTACAGGGAAAATAATTCAAGCCACTGGTCAATCTGAAATCTTTCTCGCAGGACTTAATTAACAGTATAGTATCTTTTAAAAATTCTGTTCATCATTTATTTTACAAACACAAAAGTCTAGAATGTGTACTTACTTCAGCATGTGTAGATAATGCTTGTTCAATGTTATCACTGCATTTCTCCTTGAGATCTGGTGGGATGCTTCTATTTCTTACTTGGAAGTGTGTTTTACTAAGATAACCATCACCAAGATCCTGTGTTCAGAAAACAAGAAAAAAAAAAAATCTGTAACCAAAATGCTAAATGCTATCACTGTTCTGGAAAATAAACAGAGCATGATATTTAGGTGTACACTCCAAGTCTTTTTATAGTCACCAATGGCTGCATTGCTTTTCAGCATCTTCTCCCAAGTAGTTTACACTAGCTGTTGGCATTAAAGGAAGTCAAATACCAGAACAGTAAAAATAAAGTTTTATACAGCTATTAACTGAATAGGACAACTGCTACCTGGGAATCAGGATATGCACCAAACAGAAAGTCACTGCATCAAGGTCATGAAGAATTGAGCAGCTATTAATGATTTTGACCTATTTCTAGTAATGCATACTTGCCTGTATAAACATCCCAGTTCTTGCTAGATTGGCTTCTTTTTGCTCTGTTCCCCCTCTAACTTTCTTAAAGTCCTAAAAAAAACAAAAAAAAACAAACAAAAAAACCAACTCAGCAACACTTCAGAACATGTGTGCAGTGTCACTACTTGCTCCCTTCTCTTTATCACCTCTGAGGGTCAAAAGTAAGAGAAAAGAGACAAAGCTGTACCTTATCCCAGTTTCTTTTTATCATTCTGCTTCCCAGGCCACTCCTGAAAAAAGCCCTTTTTGAGTGGCAGGAGAAGGTTTTAGGAGCTTTCTCCCCCTGCTGACCTGGCTGTCTACACACATATAAAAACGTGGGGTTTTTTTAATTAGAAGCAAGAGAGAAAAACTTTAGTAACAGATCACTGGAAAAACACTCTGAAAGGGAGAAAGTATACAGAACACCAAGAACAGTAGCTGCATGTTAAAAACTTGCTTCTCAAAGGGAACAAATAGGGGTTTTATTAGCTGTTTCATTACATTTTATTTTAAACAAACACAGAAAGCATATGCACAACATCTGATGAAAAAGGATTCTATTCAGAACAGTCTCTCTACAAAGTTCATTAAAGTAGTATTAAATTGTTGACAGGGCTGCAAATTTCACTATAATTTAACTCTTTGGTTAATCTGTCATTACTGACACAGTTTTATCTTATGTATTCTGACCTTTAAATCAACACCAGTTTTATTCCAACACATCAGTTCTCTCTTTCCAAGGATACTGTAGAATACATGTACCTCCAAAATCCACTATAGGCTACTTGTTCACTTTGTTCTCACCAAGTTTCACACATTAAAAATTATAATGCTCTCTACACCTATTTTTGTCCATGAACTTCTAAGCATGAATCATACTGTGTATATTTCATATGCACATATACACAGTTTGTATACTTCAGCCCTGGCTTACAATTTTTCCTACTGCTTGCCCTATTTCGTCATTAAGCCTCACTTTGTTGGATGTCATGTGTGCAGAACCAACTGCAGCCTGTGCAATGGAGAACTGAGTATGCAGAGTGCAACAGTGACAGAAAAATGTACGCTAACTTGCCAATGCAGCAGCCACTTCCCTCAACCTCAACACTCTCTCACGTCTCTCCTTATTGAGCTTCATGGGAGTGTCAACAGGATTACAGCTACGTGCACTGGTATTCATCCCCCTAAGAGCAGCAAAGAAACTACTACAGCCACCCACAGAGGTAAAACGCCCCAAGGCACAGTGAGGTTTGCCAGAGAAGAGCTGCTTCACTGAAGCATTCAGCTCTCTGAACCAGTTCTTCCTGTCAGCAGGAAGGAGCCAAGTGCCACAGCCTGTGCATTCTGTAGCATTTGAGTGCCATGAAAAAATACCTATGGACAATTGGATTTAGCAGTTTCTGTATTTGATAGCTGCATGTCAGAGGCTAGAGGAGAGGTGGCAGGGAAGCAACCCTCCTGTTGCACCCCATGTTGTGATACCTGTTTTGCACCCTTCTGCCCCTATAAATATATCAATACTTTAGCAAGGACTTTGATATCATTAGTGTGGAAGTTCATTTCTACTCCAGCTATCCTTTGAGTATCATAAGCAAAAGTGAACTGATACAGCCTCTGATATGATTACCTAGATTAACCTAAGTAAGTCAGGGACCCAGACTGAGTACAGTATTCAAGGTGGAGCCTGATGAGCACTGAGTGGGATAATGACATCTTTATCTCTGCTTGTGATGCTCTTGTTGACTGCTTATGACCGTCTGTATCTGGGAACTTATCATGCCTTGTGTTGTTTCCCAATTTCCAGGCTGCCAGAGCTGCCTAGGGAGAAGGTAGAGAGAGATTCTTCACTCAGGACATCAACAATATCATACTGAAGTGCTGCTGGGAGAGAAAAGTGGGAATAAGAAACATAAAGCAGAAAGCTAACAGCGGGCAGCTTTCACAGCCAAGATTTAACCATCCACCCCTAATAACAGCACTCCAGTTTAGCTTCATCGAGTCCTACAGTAGAGGTGCTCTTGGCTTTTTCACAGCTTTCTTCTGGGAGAAAGAAACAGATTATAAAAATAACATAGTTTAGCACATTTCACTTACAGCTATAAATACAGGGTTTTGCTTGGGCCGTGTGAGCTTACATCACAAGAGCCAGCTCCACAAAAACAATGAGTATGCAAGAACACAGTTCTACAAGCCTGGTTTACTTGTGTGGTCTTACTGCTATCAATGGGTCTATTCATGTGAGTACCGAATGAGGAATAGGATCCAAGAGTATTACATCAGCAAAACTAAGAGTGCCCTGAACTACTCACAACGCATATATCGGGTAAAAAAAAAAAAAAAAAAAAAAAGAAAGGCAAAAAAACAATGGGACATCTTGTTAACAACAAGCTTCCTTCCCAGACTACATACTACATAAATGGATGGTCTCAATGGCCAGGTTTTTATCACACTGAAATCAGAGTCACCAACTTGACCCATAAGAAAAAAAGAAAAAAGCAACACCTCTTACAATTTTTTTCATAGGTAAGAACAAAATTCTATCTCATTCTGCTATTTTCAGCAAAGCCTCCTATTTCACAAGAAAGCTCAGACTTTGACCCATGTATTAAATTCCCAATAGAGGCTTAGAGCATCCTTCTTTGTTGAATAAATCCTCACAAATATAGCCTTGGACTGAAATCTAAAGTTTCAAATGGCTTATTGTAAAAAAGGGTTCACTATGACACTTAGCTAATACTTGCACTCTTTTAAAAACTTCTAAACAGAATACACGTAAGGCCAGAATCCTGCTTCTTGCTGAAATTCTGTTAATTTGTGATTTACAAATGCTAATGTACAATTGCCACAAAAGTGATGTCATACATTTACTGCAGGATTTACTGCACTTCAAAATGGTAGAAGCATGATTTTTCTCCTCAAAATTCATGAAAGCATGCAAAACCACTAAATCCATTAACGTAAAACACAAAACCTAGATCAGTAGATTTTCTACAGCAAAGAGAAGAAATAGACAAATAATGAGTACCCCAAATGATCATACTGAAAACCAGTCAGAAAAGCAAGAAAACACAGGACAACCTGTATTGCCCACACATCAAAAAAAGTGGTGCAAAGAGACATCCTAGAACAGTGTGAATTTATTATTAGATGGAAAATAACAGACGCATTCAAAGTAGAAACTGCAACTACTCAAAATATTTCTGTTCTTATTTAGAGAACAAATACAAATTATGTATCCATAAACCATAACTATTAAGCAGTTTTCAGTGGTGGGTAAGCAGGACATTAACATAACGTGGCTATTGTTAGGTATTTTTAAATCAGTACATAAGAACTGCTGATCTTTAAGGTTTTGAGTATTGTGGAAGCTTCAGAGAAGCTTGGATAAAGTCAGCATGTATCAATGTATTTTTATATACTGGCTAATTTGAGTAACTGTAGACATATTCACGTACTAAAGTCATCTCAAGCAAAAGAAGACATCATGTAGAATAGAGTAAATAAAGAAAAACATATAGTACATGTAGTTATTTTTTAAGAAAAATAGGTTTTATCACAGTAAAGACTTGTTTGCTTGATAAACACAAACAATATATACTCAGACTTCTGTAAGAAAACTGCTGATTCCACAAGTGGAAATTAAAACATTAAAATAATCCCATGCTAATCTGACTCCCACTAAAAGATGAAAATATGATTAATTTACAGATCTCAAATGTAAATTAAAAAAAACGGGGAATCATCATAAGTGATTCTAATGGGGTCCTGTGGGACTCATCTTGGCCCCGTGTTATTTAAGATTTTGATTAATGACCTAGAAACAATATGTAATTATTATTGGTGAGGTCTGAAAATTCTGGAGAACCAGCAAATAAGGAGGATTGATCACTTACACAGGTTTTTCCGCTTGCTGTACGCAATTAACACGTATTTTAATGCAAAACATTAAGCTACACATTTAGAGTAAAAACTATGTGCTATTTCAGTTTACAGGGTTAAAGTGATCCTTGGATACGTGACTACAACCTCTAGCCCAGAGTAGGAAGGTTTGGATTTCACAATGATACGACATCCATTGTCTAGTTCTGCCCACAGCTGAAAAAAGGATTTTTATATATTGCACAGGATTCAGAGGAGATCCACAAGAATGGTTAAACTACTGGAAAACATGTCAAACAGTCAGGGAGCTCAACATGGTTTGCTTTTACAATTACAAGGTTCTAAAGCATCTAAAACCAAAGTACCAAAACAAAGAGAATTCTGATGAAAAAAGGGTGCCCGGCTTAGAAGACAAAGGTACAGATAGCAGTGGCTGGAACATGAAGCTAAGCAGTTAAGATTAGAAGGAACAGCTTCTTTTTCTTTTTTTCTTAATTCACTTTAAGCATAGGTAGCCACTTGAAAGTCTTGTTGAAAGCTGTGACTATTTTTCTAACACTGGGAAATCTGAAAACAAAGACTGCTTAATGTCTTAAAAGACATTTTTTGGCCAAAACAGAAATCATCTTGGGTAACCCTACAAGGTTACACCACAAGGTGCCGTAGTTTTTGGATTCATTAACCCTATTCAATACAGATACAGGTCTATATCCCCATGTAAACCATCTACACACTATTTTGTTCTTGCACCAGCTGTGCAAAATACCATTTATTTCATATGTTGTAAACTCCCCTCGAAAAGGATGTTCCAGCTTGTGGCAGTTGTCAACAGCTCAAAAACATCAGAAAGGGTATCTAAAAATGAACACGATTATTTTACCTTGCTAGTTCTCCACTCCCAACCATCTCCTATCTGCTGTGAATGTTTGATAAATTCTTCACAGTACTGCTTGAATCTCTTTTCTTCCAAAAGGAAGTCCTCTTCACCTGCCATGCTACAGGACATCTGCAGAGCAAACTAAATGTTAGTACTGGCACATAAAGTGAACACTAAAAACTTTCAATAATTTCTAGCAATTAAATAGTAAAACAACAAAGCACTGGGAAGGACGGGAGGAGAGAAAACTGGTTATTTAAAATGAAGACAAATTTCTTCAAGTACATTAGAAAATCAGACACACAAAATGGGTGAAGTTGGAATGGACCTCTGGAGATACTCTAGTCCAATCCCCCTCTTCACAGAAGATCAACTAGAGTAGGTTGCTCAGGACCATTTCCAGTTGGGTTTTGATGATCTCAAAGGCTGGAGACGCCACAACCTCTCCAGAAAATCTGCTCCAGTGTTTAATTACCACAGCAGTAAATAATTTGCTTTCTGTTTAAATGAAAAAGTCTATGTATCTGTTGGTGATCAACACCTCTTGTGCGTTCACACCATAGACTGCAAAAAGCCTGGCTCCCTCTTCTTTCTCTCCCATCAGTATTTCACACTGACATTTCTCATCTCCAGGCTGATGAGTCCCAATCCCTCAGCCCTGCCTTGTATGTCAGCCACTCCTAATCATCTTTGTGGCCCCTCACTGGACTTGCTCCAGTACGGCACTGTCTTTCCTGTACTGGGGAGACGAGTTGGACGGTCTGACATACATTTCCTCAGCAGCATGGCCCAGCCAGTGACTGTACTACAGTGACTGTGACTACTTCCACAGGCCTACCACCTTTTTCTTGGGGAGCTGAACGGCTCCACAACACCTTAACAAAGTGTTTGCGGACCCAAAACCTCCACAGTGGCCATCAGAGCCCCGAAGAAGCAATTGCTCCTGCTCTTGCCAGCAGCACAGCCCTCAATGGCCCAACAATGTGGCTTCAGGGGGTCCCAATATGCTTCAAATGCGCACCTTCCCTTCCTTCCCTTCCCCTGGAATGCTTCCCTCCAGGGTCTTAAAGGTAACATAAAAGCTTCCAGAGGATCTTTCCAATTTTACTTTTTTCCCCTCCTTCAAAGAGGATTTATTATAAACACAGCCAGTTTACAGACATCAGGCATCACTGCAGCACTGCACTCAAATACTCAGTTAACTATTACATGTTTATTCTTAACAAAAATAAAAAAACAAAAAAACCACAGAGAACACAGCACCTCATATAATGTTCATTATTTTTCAGGATCTGGCCCACAATCACAACATCACCCTATCCGCCCATGACATAAATCATTAATCTCGCACTTGAAAACACCTCATTTTCAATGGTAGTTAACTCAAACCCTCCTTACTCTGTGATAGCCGGATGCCAAGAAAGGAAATGTGGAAAACAGGCAGGGTAAACGCTTCTGCAGTCCCCAAATTTCCCAGTTCTGATGATGGACCGCACAACTGCGTCCAACATGTAAAGGAGAGTGCAGCTCTCACATACGTTTTAAGCGGAAGTCACAGAATCACGGAACCGTGTGGGCTGGGAAGGACCTTAAGGTCATTTAGTTCAATCCGCTGTCACGGGCAACAGGTATGTGCTTTGGAACATTAACAGCTGTGAAGTGACACCAGGCTGCTGGCACCAGCTCAATACACCTTTCTTCCCTACAGTTAACCCGAAAAGACTTAACAGCGACGAGCAGATCCGCGCTAGCCATCCATGCTCATTCAGGGTCCCGCAGGCAGCAGGTACACGGTAAGCCCGGGCCAGGCCGCCCCCTCTCCTCCCTGTCCGCCCCGCCATGTGGAGCCTCTCAGGCCTTCCGCCGGGTGGTGGTGGAGGGGCTACCGGAGGGACAGGGAGGCAGCGGGGCCCGGGGGGAGCCGCTGGCGGACCGTCCCGCCTGAGGTGAGGTGAAGTGAGGCGAGGAAGTGGGGGGGAGCTGTTCCGCCATACCGCCCTGCACATACCGTGCCTCCGCCTTCCGCCAGCGCCGGGCTCTCGGCCCGCCCTCCGCGCACTCGCGCCGTGCGGCGGGCCGCTGCCGACGGGAGCGAGGGAGGAGGCGGGCAGTAGCGCATGCGCGGCGGAAGGTGCAGCGGCGAGGAAGGGGGCGGGGGAGTTTGGTCGCTGTTGGTGTCTGTGGGTGCTGTCCATGTGAGGCGATGGCCCGGGGGCGCTCCCGGCTAGCCGAGGGGGCACTGGAGCTCTCGCCCAGTTCCCTTGTCAGCCGCCTCCGCCAGCGTCAACCGTGCTAGCCCCGGGTTGATTCAGACCCGCTGGCCTCACTCCAAGAAGCCAGCAATGACATATCTGCGTGTGTCGGTTTCGCAGGCTTCCCCGCCGTTCTCTCCTTACAGGATAAATGTAAAATGTTATGACTTCCCCCTAGTGAGGAGGGGGGAACGCGAAATTGAAATGGCCAGTTCATTTCAGCACTGTCTTGCAATGTAACATGGTGGATGAGTGAAGGAGTATCCAATGTGGTTATCCATGATGAAGCGAGGGACTCTTCATCTGGGACCCTAGTGATAGGACAGGGGGGAATGGTTTCAAACTTAAATGGAAGATTTAAGTTAGATATAAGGAAAAAGTTTTTCTGTTTGAGGGTGGCGAGGCCCTGGCACAGGTTGCCCAGAGAAGCTGTGGCTGCCCCATCCCTGGCAAGTGTTCAAGGCCAGGTTGGACGGGGCTTGGAGCAACCTGGTCTAGTGGAAGGTGTCCCTGCCCATGGCAAGGGGTTGGAACTGGATGAGCTTTAAAGTTCCTTCCAAACCAAACCAGTCTGGGATTCTGATTCTATGGTTATGCATCTGTCTGTGTGAAAACAAGAAAAAATTAACAGGGTCTCACTAAAATCCTGAGCTACTTCCACAAGATGCCTGATGTGTGTTTCACTTTGTTACCCAGCTGTCTTGACTGTATAATTGCTTTTAGGTGTGAAAATCTGCCAAGTGCACATAAGCTGTTTTGCTACACAAATGTTAAAATAATTATTTTTTAAATTTACAAGTCTATTAAGCCATGCATCTTTTAGTGGTAAGGTCTTGTCTGGCATGACCAAGCCATACAAACTGTAGTATGTGCAGAAATCTAAATATCCAAACTATGGTTTACAGTCTGTAGTACACAGTAATATATCTGGATGGATGAATGGAACCCAAAATCATAGAATACTTGGAAAAGGCCCTTAAGATCCTCAAGTTCAACTGTTAGCCTAGCATTCCCAAGTCTACCACTAAACCATGTCACTAAGGACTAAAACACTACATGTTTTTTTTAAATACCCCCAGGGATGGTAACTTCACCACTTCCCTGGGCAGCCTGTTCCAGTGCCTTAGAATGTTGCTTTAAAATGTGGGGTTTACCTATTTAGCAGGAAACTGCCATTTTAAAGAGTTTTGTGATTTGCATTTGGAGTAAATGAGCTACCCCATGAGCTTTGGAGACCATACTGCAATGGAGAACCTCCGCTGTTGGTGGTAATGCGACGTTCTGCAACCATGGAGCTCCCAGTTTGATTGTGATTTGCTGGGTGTTGAGAGCTCACAAGGCCCAAGGCATTTTGTTGGAATATTCCTGAGGTAAACCATTTCTCTTTGTACTTAAAATTCCATTTACTGGATTGTGCCTGTTAGCAGCCGTGTTCTTCAAATATGCGCTGTGATTCATATTTAAAGATAATTTTCACAACTATCTGTGAGCAGCGAAAAGTTCTATCCAAGTCTGTAATTTTCAGCATTAGGTATAGATAAGCAAAGTTTTGTTTTGTGAAATCATTCCGCAGAATGATTATATCGTGCTTTGAATGGATCATAGTACCTCCACAGATTGCTATTTTGACTGCATATATTATTTTTGAAAGCAGTTACACAGCTTGGGTTATGCTATTACAACCACAAGTTGTGATGCTGTAGTCATTATTTAATCATCAGAATTAATTATTTAGATTGTTATTCACTGATTCTTTTAAATGTTTGGGCTTCTGAAATTTGGTATGTAAACACTGTGTTGTCATCCAACCCTGAGTTTTAAAGGAAGGTTTTTACATTGTGGGATTCTATTCCTTAAACCTTTTTTTGCTAGCAGAAAATGCCTGTGGTATTGAAAAAATGTCAAGCAGTGTGTATTGCCTTGGAAGCTACAGCTCCTGATTTCTAATTTTAGCTTTGTTACTGTCTCTCTGGATTTTCTTAGGGACAAATCATCAAGTTTAGGGCATGGCTTATTTTAGAAGTGCATGATAGGACCCTAATTTTGCACTGAAGTTAGCAAAGGAGTCACCATGAGTGGCAGCTTTTAGGAAGCTAAGCCATAGTTTCCATATATTCAGATCATCTACTTGGATCCATTTACTTTATTTAAAATTGTGAGCATGCAGTTGCTGTAAAATCAAGAACATGCAGCAACTTGAATTTCAACACTAGTGGTCTTTTTTAAAGAGTATAGGCTTTAGCCATACCATCGGAGCATCACAAATATTATTTATGGGCCTTAAATTGAACATACACAATGCTTAGTAATTATGTGTTGTCAAAAATAGTTAACAGTTTACCTGAGTATCCCCTTCCAGGACTTGCTGGTGAGCCTAACTACCCATTGTGTTATGAAAGTTAAGGTCTGAAGCACTTAACTTTGAAAAATTGTTAGTATCCATGTGTTACTGCTAACAGAAATTCCATATATCTCTATGTAGACAGGATACTGTACTTACAAGAGATGGGTTCTAATCCTGGCTCTGCTGTTGACAAGTTTGGGCTGTTTCAGTTTTTTTTTGTCTGTTTCCCTTTCTGTCTGTCTGCAGAGCAGATCAGATTCATGGAATATTCTTACAGCATCTGGTATCAGCTTGGTCATCTCCAATGTTGTTGCCAGGGCATCTCAGCAAGTTGCAGTGAGTGCCGGTTTATCAAAGGGATTGCGTTTGCTGTAGTTCTAAAATTACTTGACAAGAACTCCCAACACGGGTTTCTCTCCTTTCTCTTCCTTCTTTTGCCTGTACTCTGAATCAGTGCCTCAAGTTTCCATCTCATCTCTGCATACAAAGGTTTTAATAGTCCTGTTCTTGAGTCGCTACTGAGATGTTTATATACTTAAAGTAAATGCATAATAAGTCATCAGACCAGTTTGGTTCTGGTGCCAGTAGGTGCCGAGAGCCTGTAGAGTGATCACAGGTCAGCAAGGGAGCACCTGCACATCAGCAGGAAAGGCCAAGTGCAGTGTCCTGCACATGGGTCAGGGCAATCACAAGCACGAAGAAAGCTGAAGAGGGGCTTTTGACAAGGGCTTGTAGGGACAGAACAAGGGGAATGGCTTTAACCTGACAGAGGGGAGATTGTGAGGAGAGGTCTTAGTAAGAAGTTCCTCCCTATGAGGGTCATGAGGCCCTGGCACAGGTTGCCCAGAGAAGCTGAGGCTGCCCCATCCCTGGCAGTGTTCAAGGCCAGGCTGGACTGGGCTTGGAGCAGCCTGGTCTGGTGGAAGGTGTCCCTGCCTGTGGCAGGGGCATGGAGCTGGATGAGCTTTAAGGTTCCTTCCAACCCAAACCAGTCTGGGATTCTATGATTAATGAATTATCACATATTGATAATTTTTAAGAGTAAACTACGATTGTTGTAGGAACTTTGTTGGCTATTTTTAGAACTAAACTAAGAGCTTAGACAGCAATCCTTCGTCAGCCAGGCTGTGAACTGGTTGATCTCTAAAAGGTCTTTTTCATCTCTTCATACTGTAATTTGGCCCAAGGAACAGCTTCATCCAAAGCCCATTGATGAGTCAAGCAGTTCAGGCAACACTCAGCTCTCCAAAGAAAACAGGTAACATTACAGCTCTGGTAGGCTTAACATTATGTACATTCAATTTCACAAATCCTCTTTAGTATGGTTCAGATCCACAGTAATTCTAATGCTATTTCTTCTACTTTGGTTTTTTATTACCTGTACTTTCCAATGCTAGGCAATGTTGCTAAACAAAAAGAGATCACAATCTGTTATTACCAATGCCTGGCAGGACCTGGGTTGCCAAGTTTTATAATAAAAGAATATTGCCAGATAACCCCAATGAGAAACAATGGTATCGCCAAAGCAAAATGCTTGTGAAGATATCTCATGAGGCTATTGGACAGCACATTTAAACCCAGCATATCATTTGTGCTGCAACAAATAATTTCTTAATGTGCTGTACTAGGATGGTCACAGGAGGAAATGCTCCCTATCTAGAGTATAGGAAGAACTACATATATGGGCAACGTCTGCAAAACCAAAATGCTGGACCTCATTCCAGTTGATATTAGCAGCCGTACACCATGTGTGACTGCTGAATTTAAATCTCTTCATTGTCTGTCATTAGATTAACAGTGCTTATGGAGATTCTGCACCGATAATGCATAATAAGAATTAAAAGTAAACTACTTGGCATTCTTTTGCTTTATTCTTTTGGGAGACTTTATAGTTTAAATTCCTGTGAAGAGCTTGGTGGATGGAGAGCTTATTTTCCAATGATCACTTTACAGTAATCACGTAAGAGCACAATACCACAGTGCTCTTACGAAGTAGACTAGTAGTGATATTTTCCTTTTGCTGGCAGAAAAATAGGAATTAAGTTGTACAAGGGTATGGAAATTGATAGGCTAGTGAACAGAGCTCAGTTTTGTAGATGCATGGTCTGTGTCTTGCACATACTTGCTCTTGGGCCCTTTGATTGTGCTGAGAGAAAGTTCAAAAGGAAACAAACTGAGAGGTATACAAACAGCATACATTTTTCATGAATATTTTTATTCCACTCCGGTGGCTACCAACCAGTACTGGAAAAAAAGTAACAGCACAATGCAGCAATTGTTGCCACATTCTGGTTTTGGCAGTTTTTCCTACTTCTTTCTACTTCTTTTATCTAAAAGTTTAATACTTCTTTCAGATCTTTTTCATAGTTCTGTTTTCTCTTTCTGCTGCTGTTACTAATGTTCCAGTCTTGGGTTTTTGGTTTGTTTTGGTTTTATTTCCTGTTAGACAAACTGAAATCAATTTGAGACACACTACTATACGAGATACTCAAGTCATTAATATTAAAAGATAACAGTAGCTCTCTGGACTCTCTCCAACAGGCCCATGTCTTTCCTGTACTGGGTACTCCAGAGCTAGACACAGCACTGCAGGGGGGGTTTCCCCAGAGCAGAGGTATGCCTGTTAAAAAAGTCTTTGTGTATATAGTTCAGTACGTTTTGGATCCCAGCCCGTTAGACTTTATATGTGTTATTCATGCTACGTCATTGTATGCACACAATGTCCTGCACACTAGGGATGTATGTGTGCTATACATTTGATTTCAGGATTTCTGGGGATCATAATATTTCTTCCACTTTTTTGGGTTTTGATGACTTTGGGGATCAGGTAACGATCTGATCATCATGGGTGTCTTTCCAAGAATTAGATTGTTTATTGAGTTTCATTTTGCTTTGTAAACCCTTGTTTTTCCAGAAGTGGGAAATGAATGGTTTTCCAAGACCAATGCTTTTGTAGCTGTGATAGGTCCTGGACAGGTCTAGAGATACTAAGGGAGAGAAGATGCCCCTGGGTTGTGCTTAAAGACTTACACTAGCCAGAAGAGTGATGTGTTCTATCTCAGTAAAGGCTTGATGGATAAGGACAGTGTTTTGAACAGCAGTACAGGAAATATGGCAAAACCTGTGACACTGAAGTAATGAGCACAAGTGCTTTAGCTCATAGGCAAAATTAGGTCCTTCCCGGTAACCTTGTTACCCACAGAATAATACAGGTCCCTGTTATATTTTAGTAACAATCAGTTTCTCTTATTAAAGACTGTGGAATCCTTCTCTAACTGCACAGGTCCCAGGAGAAAAATGTTCCCCAGCTAGCAGTGGATTTCTGGAACTAGAGTGTGCACATGACTGACTAGTGCTACGAAAATAACTTCTGATGCCAGCTAGGTAAAAGCAGTAGGTATGGCTCTGGACTTCTGTACCTTAGAAAAAGATTCAGTTGGCTGTGGACATGGACCTGCAATAGTGAAATTAAACTGATTTGTGGTGTCAGGAAGTGCAAATTGGAGATACTTCTGTAAGAAATTTACAAGTTTACTCTGAAGAAATGTTATTAAATATCTTTCAGGTGCAGGTGCATAGCCTGGTGATGGTCTTTCTGCTACCAGTTCAAAGCCACTTTTTAAAATGTAGGCTAACTGGGTGCAGAAACAAATCAACCTAAAGCACAGAACTCCACCTTAATATGCAACAGAGAAAGCAATAAATAGATAGAGGGAGAATTGGTTTTGACCTCTGGTATGCCCCTTGTCCCTTCTCAGTGCCTCTTCTCACATGTGTTGCAGGGGTTCACATAGAGGTTCAAGTGTATTGGCCTCTTCCCAAGCCAAGGATGAAGCATCCAGTTCACAGGATTCCCAGACCTTGCGGAGCTGTACACAGCAAGGAGCAGGAGCAGGAGGCGTTTGCAGTTACACAGCCCTTGCATGAGCAACCATGTATTTGGCGCTTGGTGAGAACCGCTGAAGATATACTTGGTCACTGCACAGTTCTCCTTCAGGCCTCTCCTCACAAACTAAAGGCTGTTTAACATTTTATTGGTCTCTAGTGTTCCTAATACAATTGTGTCTGCCAAGGAGTGGACCAAAGGCAAGGCTAACTTCTGGTCCTGAAATGGCCTCTCCTGCTGCTGTTTCCAGAGGTGGGCTAGTCAGCTTTGTAGGCCCTGGGCCTTACCAGCCAGGCTGTCACTTCAGTTTTCACTTTCTGCTGGCAGTTCCCTTTCGTAGCTGCCAAACCCACCTCCTCTGTTCCTCACTCAGTATTGTTTCTCAAACACAGCATCTAATGTTTATTCTCATTTTCTGAATGCTGGACTGTTCACTTGTTCACCCTTCCGAATGGCGTAGCCACCTATTCATACTTCGAAGTTCCTGCCACAGAAATGTGAGAAAGAGTATATACCCAGCTTGATGTAAAGCACTGGAAAAAAGCCCCCTAGTTTATTGTCTTCATCAACCTAAGATCACGTCATAGAATCGTAGAATCATAGAATAGTTAGGGTTGGAGAGGACCTTAAGATCATTAAGTTCCAACCCACCTGCCATGGGCAGGGACACCTTGCTCTAAACCATATCACCCAAGGCCTTGTCCAACCTGGCCTTGAACACTGCCAGGGATGGAGCATTCACAACCTCCCTGGGCAACCCATTCCAGTGCCTCACCACCCTAACAGGAAAGAATTTCCTCCTTATATCCAATCTAAACTTCCCCTGTTTAAGTTTTAACCCATTACCCCTTGTCCTGTCACTACAGTCCCTAATGAAGAGTCCATCCCCAGCATCCCTATATGCCCCCTTCAGATACTGGAAGGCTGCTATGAGGTCTCCACGCAGCCTTCTCTTCTCCAGACTGAACAGCCCCAGCTTTCTCAGCTGATCTTCATATGGGAGGTGCTCCAGTCCCCTGATCATCCTCATGGCCCTTCTCTGGACTTGTTCCAACAGTTCCATGTCCTTTTTATGTTGGGGACACCAGAACTGCACACAATACTCCAAGTGAGGTCTCATGAGAGCAGAGTAGAGGGGCAGGATCACTTCCTTCGACCTGCTGATCACACTCCTTTTGATGCAGCCCAGGATACGGTTGGCTTTCTGGGCTGTGAGCACACACTGAAGCCGGCTCATGTTCATTTTCTCATCAACCAGCACCCCCAAGTCCTTCTCCGCAGGGCTGCTCTGAATCTCTTCTCTGCCCAGCCTGTAGCTGTGCCTGGGATTGCTCCGACCCAGGTGTAGGACCTTGCACTTGGCATGGTTAAACTTCATAAGGTTGGCATCAGCCCACCTCACAAGCGTGTCAAGGTCCCTCTGGATGGCATTCCTTCCCTCCAGCGTATCAACCGAACCACACAGCTTGGTGTCATCAGCAAACTTGCTGAGGGCGCACTCAATCCCACTGTCCATGTCAGCGACAAAGATGTTGACCAAGACCGGTCCCAAAACCGATCCCTGAGGGACACCAATCGTTACTGGTCTCCAGCTGGACATTGAGCCATTGACCACAACTCTGTGTGCAGCCATCCAGCCAGTTCCTTATCCACCTAGTGGTCCATTCATCAAATAGATGTCTCTCCAATTTAGAGTCAACAATTTCGTGTGGGACAGTGTCGAATGCTTTGCACCAGTCCAGGTAGATGACATCAACTGTTCTACCCCTGTCCATTAGTTTCTGTAGCCCCATCATAAAAGGCCACCAAATTGGTCAGGCAGGATTTCCCCTTAGTGAAGCCATGCTGGCTGTCACCAAGCACCTTGTTGATTTTTCATGTGCCTTAGCATGCCTTCCAGGAGAATCTGCTCCAAGATTTTCCCAGGCACAGAGGTGAGACTGACTGGTTTGTAGTTCCCTGGGTCATCCATTTTCCCCTTCTTGACAATGGGGGTTATATTACACTTTTTCCAGTCATTACATCTCTGGGTCGAAGTGACACGGTTTTACTTTTGGCTTCCACCATTCTGATTTTACACGTTCCAAACATAGTGTTTATGCTTTATTCTCAGTAGTATTGCATTATGATTTATTACCTACACAGAACTGTAGGTTCTTGCAACGCTTTGAAGATGAATAGAGTCTGTGCTTTCCACAGAGGAGCTTTAACGTGGCTTCAGGCCACAGTATAAGATGGGTGCAGAGAAGGCATGCCATCTCTGGAGTGTGCACAACAGAGCCTCCTGAACATTTTTGCAGGTGGGAATACAAACTATCCACAAGCCAGAACAGCTCAGCTGGGAAATACCAGAGATGTCAGCCCTAAAGGATTCCTAGCATCTGACCACAGGGATACTTATCTCTGTCAACTAGGAATGGAGCAGCGCAGAAGCAGTGAAGGCAAAATTACCTGAATCCTCTGCCTCTCCATCACAGTTTAAGCCCAGCTGGTAACTCAGAACTACACAGTAGCTCACTCCCTCCCCCACATTCTTCCCCATGGTTCCCAGAGGGATGGGGAGAAGAGCTGTAAGAATGTAACTCCCGTGGGTTGAGATAAGAACACTCCAGTAACTAAGGTATAACACAAACCACTACTGCTACCACCAATAATAATAATGATAGATGACATCAACTGCTCTATCCCTGTCCATCAGTTCTGTAGCCCCATCATAAAAGGCCACCAAATTGGTCAGGCAGGATTTCCCCTTAGTGAAGCCATGCTGGCTGTCACCAAGCACCTTGTTGTTTTTCATGTGCCTTAGCATGCCTTCCAGGAGAATCTGCTCCAAGATTTTGCCGGGCACAGAGGTGAGACTGACTGGTCTGTAGTTCCCCGGGTCATCCATTTTCCCCTTCTTGAAAATGGGGGTTATATTTCCCTTTTTCCAGTCATCGGGAACTTCACCTGACTGCCATGATTTTTCAAATATGATGGCCCGCGGCTTAGCAACTTCATTCACCAGCTCCTTCAGGTCCTCTAACTTAACATTTTTAGTATACCTCTTTATCCCATTTGTGAGAAATCTATCAAGTGAAGAGCCTCAGCATGGTATGACAGTTACAATCCTTCCTAAAATTACATTTCATCATACAGCATGTACTGAAAGTTGAGAATAAGGTTGATTCTTAACACTTCATCTTCTGTTGTCATGAGTCTCGTTTTCCAGACTTACTACCAACATTATGAATGTACTGAGTGTTTCAGAGTGCAAGACAAGAACGGCATGTCAGCTGTTTTCATCAGGGTGTGCAAATGAGATTTGTAGAAGCCCAATGGAAGAACATTGCATCAACTAATAGAGACTTCAAGAGTAAATCTGCCTAGTTTGTTTCCTTATCAGTTTGGACTAAACATACTTGTTGGCTGAAAATTATACATGTCACCTGCCAGATTGGAAGAAAATCAGAAGCTGTCCTGGTAAAATGAGGAAGTGAGCAGTGAGGAACTGACCATTCAATTGACAGTGAACTATTAATGTAAATACTTTTCTTTACACTAAAGAGAGGACCTGCCATTTAAAATTGACAGGTTAGCACATGCTAAAATATTGTCCCTATATTAGACTGCCCAAAATTCTGTTAACTAGCATAAATGAATATATGACACTCATGTTTTTGTTCATCCTTATTTGGACAATGCCACAGGCTTTTTTTCATTCCCTTGAATGATACAGTCCAGAAATTTACCAGGTCTTCAAAATTAAAATCAGCTGTTAAGTTACTGATATATTATCCTATTGTAATTCTTTTCCCCCAGAAAAGAAAACATACATTTATTCAGATGGAGTTTAACTTGCAGCATGGCTGCTTAAAATCTGCTTGTAACAAGTAAGATGGTCCTTTGAAGAGGAGAAATACTCTCCTGACTCTTTACCCGCTGATAATTGCCACTACAGAGGTGAGTGCAAAAAAGGATTTGAAGGGGTCCAGTCCTCCAAACCACTGTATGCAGAATTTCAAAATAAGCTATTTTGCAGTGGCATTACTCCTTTCCCTCCTAATACTCGTCCTCTTTTACTTCTCTGTGATTCCCAAATGCACTGACTCAGTTGACTAAATTTACCCTGGCATAAGAGGCTGTAGCTCCACTTCATTCATTGACATTTACCTACAACACAGTTACCCTGCACGGGAATATTTCACACAGGCTAGGTGTAGAGGTTTCCCCGACCACTGTCAGTCCTGAGCTTCAGCCATTCTACTTCAGTCATGTGCAGCATTTGTGCAAGGTAAATAATACAAGAGTCAAACTCAGGAAGACGAGAGGATGAAGAGCAGACTGTTAATGAAATGGGAATGGTTTATTTAATATGACTATGACCTAGCATGCTTTAGCTTCACCAGCTCATCAGTGTCAGTTCCCCTAATCTGTATGCAGCACTGACACTGACAGAGCTTCTTAACATAACAGTGAAATCATAGAATCATAGAATGATGTGGGTTGAAAGAGACCTTAAAGCCCACACAGTTCCAGTCCCCTGCCACAGGCAGGAACGCCTTCCACTAGAACACATTGCTCCAAGCCCCATCCAACTTGGCCTTGAGCACTGTCAGGGATGGGGCAGCCACAGCTTCTCTGGGCACCCTGTGCCAGTGGGTCACCATCCTCAGAGGGAAGGACTTCTGCCTAAGAGCTCATCTCAATCTCCCCTCTGTCAGGTTCAAGCCATTCCCCCTGTCCTGTCCCTACAGGCCTTTGTCAAAAGCCCCTCTCCAGCTTTCTTGTAGTCCCTTTAGGCACTGGCAGCTGCTCTAAGGTCTCCCCTTAAGGAGCCTTCTCTTCTCCAGGCTGAACCAGCCCAGCTCTCTCAGCCTGTCTCCAGAGCAGAGTGGCTCCAGAACTTGCAGCATCTCTGTGGCCTCCTCTGGAATCTCTCCAACAGCTCCACGTCCCTCTTGTGTCGTTGCCCCAGAGCTGGATGCAGAACTGCGGGGGGGGGGGGGGGGTGTCTCCCCAGAGTGCAGTAGAATCTCCTCCTTCGACCTGCTGCTCACGCTCTGGGGGTGCAGCCCAGCACATGGCAGGGTTCTGAGCTCAAACACTCACTGCCAGGTCATCCCCCAGTTCCCTCAGGACCCCCAGATGCATCTCATCACGTCTTATGGACTTGTTCACCTTCAGATTCCTCAGATGGTCTTGAACCTAATGTTCTACAGCAGCGGTTCTGCATTCTCCACATCCCTGCCTTTGCCTTCTGTGACGGACAGTGTGGCTGGAGCTCCTGCTGGCAAAGACCCAAGTTAAAAAAGTCATTGAATGCCTTGGCCTTCTCCATGTCCCAGGTAACCAGGTCTCGTGTTTCCTTCTGGAGAGGGCCCACATTTCCATGGTCCAAATTTGCACCTAGTGTAACTCTGCTGATGTTGATGAAGGTATGTCAGAACTAATTTAGTCTGGCAGTTACTCTCCATGATGTGGGACTGCAACACCTGGCAGTAAACAAACCTGGATAACATGTACTGTGGCACACAGCTTGGAAATAACTGAGACCCAACATAGCCAGCACAGGCCCAGAATGGGGGATGAACTGAACTGCTCAGGTATCTATGTACAGTGATCCAAGATGCTGCAGGCCAAGTGCGCATTCCAGAGCTGATATGTCCTCCCTGAGCACAGAGCAGCAGAGTGGAAAGGTGGAGGAATCAGCTCCCTTCCCACCAGTTTTACTGCTCCGTTTCAGCACCAGCCAGACAGGTCCATGCAGCATCAGAAAAGCAACTCACTCCCACGGTCCTTGTAGCTGCAGGACAATGCTGAGACATTGTGGCTGGATCTGCACAGAGCTGGCATGAATTTATAGTTGGTTTATTGCTGATATATCGCTAAAATACAGCTTATAAGCATTTAGATTACATATAGCTCTATACCAAAATGGGCCACATCTGGCACATATTGTCCACAAATAGTTGAGAGTTAACTGAATATGATTCAAACTAAATAATTTTTAAGACATTTCTTTTTGTAGGAATTTTCACTAAACCAGCCAAATTCAAGAAGCAAAGCCAGAATAAGACATAAATTTAAATTGTGGATCCCTGATGTACAATATATACATCTTGTTACGTGATTTGTTATTCAGAGGTAGAAGTTTCCTACATAACAATAGTGGAACATGCCCCCAAGCACCAATTCAAATGAGACCCACCAAGCACAAGTGGAGTGCTGTGTTTTCCCAGCCTTGTTTCTTTTGCCTGCCATCCCAAAGGTCACTTTCTGTTTAATCCCTTCTATACCAACACTCCATAACTTTTCCTGTCCCCTCACTCTCTCACAGTCAAATGGCATGGCTTTAAGGATGGATGTATTTTGTTTATGTGAAGAACAATTTCATGTAAGTTTTCAAGTGTAAATAAGCACTTACAAGTGTTGTCTGTCTGGTTTAAAAGCTGTGGTTATCACCCTGGGAGAAGACAACTCTTTGCAGGTATCAGAAGTTGAGAAACAGCTGCTTTGTCCTTTTTTATCAACTGGAGGATTACAGGTGGCAAATGGTTAGGGTGGTGTCATCAATTTCCAGCTCACATCTGCATCCATCTCTGCCACCACCACTCTCCGTTTTACTGTTGTCGAGTTACTTGCTTCTTGCTGTTATTTCCATCTACCTGCGGAATGAGGTTGAGGATGATAATGTAATAGGTGTTTTGAAGATTAACTCAATAGTACTTCAGGCCTTTTCAGACATGCAAGTGAAAACATGAGTGTATAGAAAATCAAAGTATAATTATTATGAAAATGTACATTATTGTTTAGAGTAAAAGGGAATTGAAGGTAGGATGATGAGATAATGAGACCACTGGAAGTGAAGGATTTTGAGACATGGTATTAAGTAGAAAGCAGAACAATTAATTGAGCTTAGGGAGGGTTTTCCTAGCAAAAAAAAAAAAATCTTATTTTCCTTCATGATTTATTTTTATTTTTAGTATGTGAAACAAGATGTAAGATGTCACAGTATGATTGGAAATAGGAAGTTGTAAGATAGTGTTTTAAGGGCACGATCCTTTAACTGTGTTCAGAGTCCCAGTGGATAAAACATTAACGAGGTAAGACCCAATTTAGATCCCTCCTGTTTTATTATTATTGGTTACACTGTCAGATAAAGATCTACTGGAGACGATATCAGTTTATGAATATTGTGAGACTTTTTAAAGTACATGAAGATTTACCATATATGGATTTGCAAGAGATGAAAGGTCCAAACTAACCCACAATTGTCCCCATGGCACCTAACTTCTCCTGAGAAGCCAATGTTATTTCTGTAACGAATGTTCTTTTTTTTCAGAGAATATTTAGTACTTCATGAAATGGGGTATCTAGAACTTAATCCAGAAAAGGCTAAAGGGGTGACATTTATAAATCTCAGGTTGCCACAAATCAGATTTAGCTGTGACTGCACCGTTCATGATATACAGTTAGACATACATGAGATGTTACACTAGGAAAGTTTTATTACCCTACACTTAATTCATTGAACTTTGTTTAATTTATCCGCTTGTTTGGATTGCACATGAACATTGCAGTAGCAGCCCTCTGAGTTGGGATTTCTATTTATAGCATGCTCTGTCTTCATTGGATGCCCCTCCATTAATTTCAATGAGGCAGTAATTAGGCCCTTAAAGCAGAATTAAGATATCTTTAATAATTGAATTTAGATTCAAAATTTACCCAGTATTCTTTCAAAAGATGTTATTTTTATAGTTCTTTGGGTCTGTGAAAGAGGACACATTTCTAAATGTTACTCTTTTACATTTCCTCCTGTTTTTCTTTTATGTATTTTGGGGCTAAACAGTCCCATTGCCACAAATTTCAGATTTCACACATGCATGTATTTAGCCATAAGGCAATTCTGAACTTTCAAAATTAAGTACAAAGCCATTCCCTGTAGGATAGATTTCTTTTGCATTCTAAATAATTTCTGCCTTGATAGCCAGGGGAACTACTTAGCTCTATGGGATGTTTAACTAGACTCAAACTTCTCTGCTGAGAGAGATGGGTTTGAAGGATGGACTGTTCAATGGACATGGAACTGTCTGGATGGCTGTGTCCAGAGTTACAGTCAATGGCTGGGATCCAAGTGGAAACCAGTAATGAGTGGTGTCCCTCAAGGGTCTCTACTGGGTCCAATACTATTGAGTATCTTCAGAGTTACATGGACAATGGGATTGATGTGCCTGTAGCAAATTCACTGACACCAAGCTGTGTGGTGTGGTTGACGTACTGGAGGGAAGGGATGGAATCTAGAGGGACTTGTGGAGCCTGGAAAGGTGGGACCATGTGAACCTCATGAAGTTCAACAAGGCCAAGTGCAAGGTCTTCTTGGCCCTGATCCCCAGCACAAACACAGGCTGGGTCAGGCTGGATGCAGCAGGCATGAGAAGGACTTGGGGGTGTTTGATGACAAGAAGCTCCCCATGACCCAGCTTCAGTGTGTGCTTGAAGACCAGAACCCCCCTGTGTGCTGAGCTGCATCCCCAGAGCATAAACAGCAAGTCAAGGGAGGGGATTCTCTCCCTCTGCTGCACTCTGGGGAGACACCCCTGCAGTCCTGCATCCAGCTCTGGGCAACAACACAAGAGGGACGTGGAGCTGTTGGAGAGATTCCAGAGGAGGCCACAGAGATGCTGCGAGGGCTGGAGCAGCTCTGCTCTGGAGACAGGCTGAGAGAGCTGGGCTGGTTCAGCCTGGAGAAGAGAAGGCTCCTTAAGGGGAGAGCTTAGAGCAGCTGCCAGTGCCTAAAGGGGCTAAAATAAAGCTGGAGAGGGGCTTTTGACAGAGGCCTGTAGGGACAGGGCAAAGGGAATGGCTTGAACCTGACAGAGGGGAGACTGAGATGAGCTCTTAGGCAGAAGTTCTTCCCTGTGAGGGTGGTGAGGCCCTGGCACAGGCTGCTCAGAGAAGTTATGGCTGCCCATCCTTGGCAGTGTTCACAGACAGGTTATGAGGTAGTGACAAAAGTGAGGAAGTGACAAAGGCCTGCAGGGACAGGACAAGGGAGAATGGCCTTAACCTGACAGAGGGGAGATCTCAAGTTCTTCCCTGTGAGGATGCTGAGGCCCTGGCACAGGGTGCCCAGAGACGCTGTGGCTGCCCCATCCCTGGCAATGCTCAAGGCCAGGTTGGATGGGGCTTGGAGCAATGTGGTCTAGTGGAAGATGTCCTTGCCCATGGCAAGGGGCTGGACTGTATGAGCTTTGATGTCTTTTCCAACCCAAACCACACCACGATGCTAGTTTTAAAGGCAAAAAACAAACTCAGTAAATATTCAACAACCTTAATCTTGAGTACACTAGCCAGTGCATCCCTGTGTGCAGCTCTCAGAATTGTAGCTGATGCTATTAGAAACATCAAGAGTGGCACTACAGAGAAGTATTTCTTCATCAGCACCTCATCTGACATTCACTCAAACACTAGTCAAGAAAAAGATGTGCAGCAGT